TGCTGCAGGACCAGGACAACTTCATTGACTTCCCCTACTTTCAGCTGCAGCACCGAATCACATCAGAAAATCTGGATCATCAGCCTGATTTGATGGGATGGAAGGACTCTCAAGCATTGTGAGACAGAGTGATTCATCACAGGGACTGATTCCCAGGGCTCTGTCATGTGAGAGGCTTGGTTGGGTAAGTGCCAGACGAGTGCAGGGAGTAAAAAATAGTAGAAATACTCGGCAAGCAGCCTTTTCTTTTTTATGCCACCAATAAACACAATAAATATTTATGTAAAAATAATGTCCTTACAGCTTCTGAAAAATGAGAAAAGCACAATGTTGGGTAACAGCTGACTGCTTCAAACCCAGCACAGCTGAGCAAGCAGACTTGATGAAATGGAGGAAAACTGTAAAGATTGGTCTCGAAGTCACACACACAAAAAAAAGAAAAGAGAAGGTCTACAGAGAAGAATTTTATATTTCTGAGAAAGTAGGTTTGCTTTTGAGAGAGTAGAAGGAGAAACAACTTCTTTAAACATCTCTTTCCTGCAAGAGGTCACACCAAACCAGGGGCCTGCTGAAATGTGGATGTGAGGGGTGAGTGGAAGGTGCAGTGTCACTGTTAAAGTTGGGACGGGCAGAGCGACATAGAATCTTCTTCCAAAACAGGAACAGGATTACAAGAACAGGATTACAGGATTGTAATCACTTTATTGTAACAGGTTGCAAACATTTATACTTTTCACATATCACACATGTCAAGTTTCTGTTGGTGTCTTCATACAAACATATATCAGGCTATACACATGTCATCCTACTATTGGTACACATAGATCAGGTCATACTTGTCAGCTTAATTATTGGTATTTTTATGTACACACACATCAGGCCATAGTCATGTATAAATGTATCAATAAATCAATGTATCGAATGTATAAATAAATCAGGATTGGCTGAAATATAGCAAACACAGTTTCTGTCAAGTCATCCTGACTTGCAGAAAGTACAGGAACTCCATTTCTGTCTTCCATCTTCTTCCTGTCTGAAAGTTGTCCACATTCCTCTGCATGTTGTGTTCTGCTCCTTTCAGGGGTATACTGTAATCTGGTTTATGTCCACTGCTTCACTGATAAATGCCAGGCTGCTGACAGGCTTGCTGTCAACCCTGACAGTGCAGAGTCTCCAGTTGCCTGGTTCTGCCTGTAAATGCTGAGGGAATTTGGTCTTGGCCACGGGATCCTTTTGAGACTCATGTTTGCCAGGAACTGTCACTGGATCAGGATGAGGGCTGGAGACAGGACAGGGTGCAGGGGGTGAGGCTGAGGCGGGGGGATGAGGGTGAGAAGGGGGGATCTACCCAGATCTTCAGGGCTGGCTGGAACAGCAGGAAATCCCCTCACAGTGTGAAACCAGGGAATTTTCAACTTTTCTGCAGTCTCTGTGCTCCCAAGGACGTGGCAGCATTGGGAACCCCAACCCAGCAGCACATACCACAGAAGCATCCCCTGCTCGTGAGGACCAGCAGCTCCCCCTGTACAGCACAAACCTCCCTCTGAATTTGGGCGCGTTAGAGGAGGGAGATTTGTATCCATGAGAGAAAAAAAAAAGTTATATAAGAGAAAAAAAAGTAGGAAAATACTGAATGTGGAAAAGCATTTGGCTAATTTTAGATAGAAAAAGAAATCAGGCATTAATTTTCAAACAACTGGGATATTTCCAGTCCTGCAGGTTTGTTTTTAATGTTGTGGAGAAGGGATATTATTTGTTTGTCTGAGCCTTTATTCTTGTTTGTCTGAGACTTCCTGAATATTTATTCTTAATAATAATCTAAGCTGAAGTTTTTAACATGAGGATTTGGAAATCATGGTTACAGGCACCAAGCCTAGAGATTACTGCACAGTTTTCATACACCACAACTAAAGAATAAACACTACTTAGTAGAAGTTATTTTATTGAAAACTGCCTTTTTGCTGTGCTTCTGCTGCTTGAAAAGGAACCAAATAACTCAGTGACTAATAAAATAGAAGCTCTACAACCAAATAATGTTGAAGCACCTAAAATAAAAAAAGAATATTAGTACGGATTTTTAGTATCCCTGCTTTTGCAAGTAAAGCTTTTACATTAATTAGTGTCTCCACATGCTTATAGATTTGGAGATGTCCCAGTAAAGAGTTTCTAGGGATTGGAAGCCTGTGGCAGACATCAGCAAAATAGAATAGGTCAGAGGAGAAAAGACCATTTATTTATTCACTTATCTATCCATCCCACAGTGAAAAGATGAAATGGCTCCTGTAAACGAATATTAAATCTCTTATATTCTAGACCTGTCTCTACTAAAACAAAAAACTAAAAAATAAAAAAAGAATAGTGTTTGTCTGAATGGCATTTTGGACCTTTTGCTTCAATTAAAGTAGATTTTCTGCCATCACTGTATGAAGACTTAAAATACTGGCTGGCTACCATCCACCATACCCCATGTGGAAAGGGAACTCATAAAATAACCGAGTACATGGAGACTAATCATGAGAAAAGAAAGGAAAAGGAAAGTGATAACTAGACAAACCCAAGTGCCCTGGGGCAGCCCAAGATAAACATTTGTTCCCGGGGAGATGACAAGCTTTGCTTTCCTTGGCAGCCAGGAAAAACACCAGTGTACACCAGAGGAAAGAGCCCAATTAAAGCAATTAAAGAACCAGCAATCAGGAGCTTACCAAGTTGAAAGCTTTTCAAAGTGCAAACAGTCATGGCTGTGATAGATGACACTGCTCTGTGCTGGGGTGTCTCAGACATTTCCTCTCTTGCTGTAGCTCCTCTTTGGTCAGTCAGGGAACAATATTTAAGCATAAATACTGTGCTGATGTACTTTATACTGCATTACAAGTTAGACAAATGTATTGCCGTGGTGAATTTGGGTCAAGAGAATGAATTAGAATCCCTTTTCTACACCTTCTACCTTCCTTGGTAATATTTTGACAGTTTTGTTCCTAAAATCATAAATCTGGTTGGGTTCATCACGAAGGCAATATGAGAAAAGCAAAGTTAACTGCACTCTCAGCTTTGGATCATTTCTAATTTAGGAGCAAGGATTACTGCCCTGCCCAGAAACAGGACTGGGTTTATTACTTGTAGGTTCCTCGGGATAAATGCCACATTTCCCCCCTTCTCAGAGCAGCCCAGGATCACAGCCCAGGTGCAACCCCAATGGAGAAAATCCTTGAAAACTCTGTAAACGAGCCAAATTTGGGCTATACTCCAGTTTTTTCCCCTTTGCTTCTGCACAGAGAAGCAAAACATGGCTTGGATGGAGTTTGTTTACATCTTATTCTAGTACTTTTACCACGGCACAGGCACCTGTTTGCAGCCTGCTGGTTCTAACAGAGCAGGAAAACAGTGACCCTACAGGTTCCCTGGGTCAGCTGGGGACAGGGTGGGCTTTGTGCTCTCCATGTGCCACTGAGCTTCCCTGCATTAGCAGGACTGGAAGGACACAACATGACTAAAGCCCAGAACTCAACCTCCTGCCTTACTTCAAGAAGTAAGGAAAGGGAAGGCAGGATTAAAGACTCTAAACCTGCCAGAAACTCAGTGGGGAAAAACCTTTCTGATGATTTCCCATGAGGCACGGAAAGGTTAATGCAATTATTCACTTAGATGCTTTTATTGCAGCTTCTCCTCCTCCTCCTGGCTCTCCACCAAACCTCCCCCTATCCCAGAGAAAAACAACCCACCAAACCTACAAAAAAATCCTTCACATCACACCCCCTTTTTAGAGGAGTTATTTAATTATAAGGGACGGAGTCAGGCGGCCTAAATTAGACAACAGAATCCTTAAGCACATGCTTAATTAAAACATTAACTATTGGGAGTTAAATATATCTTTAAGTGCCTTGTAGAATTTAGGCCATAAAGCAGAATGACGCTTTCCAGACCAAATTTCAGCTATCATTTTCTTCTCTACGGCCTCCTGAGAGGTCTCCAACAAAGCTGCCACACGGGTTCCTTAAAGCACATCAGGACCTGATTCCCTGCCAGCTGCAGCTTGGAAAAGAATTCCAGCTCACATGCCAGCCTCCAAATGGCTTTTCCTGCCCCAGGGCCCTCTTCCTGCTAATAAAGGTAAAATTACAGGGGCTTGCCTTTAGATGTAAATGTTCTCTATCAGCCTTAAGGAACTGTAGGAATAACAGCAGGAATAATCCAGCATTTCGGTTTTGGAGTAGCCATTGCCAGCATTGAGGTGCTGCTGCATCAAACCTTGTGTCGTGGAGTTTTCCAAGCTAAACAGTGTGATTTTTGTTATAAACTTACAGGCTTTAATGGGATTTTTTGGTAAAGTTTCTCTTAAAGTACCAGCACTTCTGCAGATTAGTGGGGCTTTAATCAGCTCCCAAAGTACCAATGGAGTACCAAGTTCCTTAACCACGTTGCAACTCTAATATTCTGGAATGGGAGGACTAAACTGCCCAATGCCCCAGAGGTTTGAGGGTTTCTTTTCCCCTTGAAAGAGCACATTTCTTTTTCAAAATATCTCCTCTGCCCTATCTTTCTGCTTGGCAAACCTTCTGAATCCTCAGCTTGAACAGACTAAGCAGCACGGCAATGTATTTTACATACAGAACACTGCCAGGGTGTTGTTCCAATAACAGTTCCCAAGACACTTTTCAACACCCCTTTGGACATATTACACTTAGAAGGACAAGCAGCTTTGAAGGGCTTCCATTAAGCTCATCCAGCAAGAAACAATCTACAAAACCCCCAAACCCAAACCAACATACCTATATATATATATCAGAAAGCAAAATGTTGAAATGCAGTTTTTATTATTCTGAATCAGAGGTTTTAAAGGGGGGTAAAGAAAAAGGATCATAAATTGGCCTTTAGCTGTTGAGAAGCCACCTGTGATTAATTTTGACAACCCAGGTGTCCTGGGGAGGGCTTGTGGGCGTTTTTTCTGATTGCTGGAAGCTGTGTGATGATGTTTTAGGTGATGCAGGATGGGGGTGGGCTCAGTGCTCCCTTGGATGCTCAGCAGGTCACCAAGCCTGGAGGTACTGCTCTGCTTGCACACGTGAGGTGAGCAGGCTGATATTGGTTGGGAGCCCTTTTCCTTCTGATTTAGACACTCTTGAGTTTCCTCTACTTAAAAAATGAATTGTCCTGATTTGTATTCTGATAAAGCCTCCATTTAGTCTGAAAAAATTTTGGTCTTTGCAGGGAGCTGCTGCAGCAAAATCTGCCTCCTTCAGAGTGCTGGCCTGGGGTCCTCTCCCGTCACGAAGCAGTGGTTGAGTGAGTGTTGCTTTTAAACAAAAGTCTTACTAAACTTCGTTTAAAATGTTGTGGGGAGACAGTAAATAATTTAATCCTGTGATTTGACAGTTTTTTAAACCGAATACAAAGCTCTCTTTGCTCTGCAGGTTCTCATGGGTGTCTACGTGTTGTGTAGGCCTTCAATGGTTCTGAATTACCGGAAGTGCCAACAGGCCCAAAAGTAATTATACAAAAGTGATTTTCACGCACAGATGAGAAAAATGCTTTATTCTTTTGCTTTGTTGCTGCTTCACTCTTTTTCTTATTGCTTGGAAATGCCAGGATTGCTGAAAATTGCAACAAATTAACATGTATTTCCAAGGTGGAAGTGTGTCTTTAACTGTAACAAGCAGTGTTGACTAGGGGTTAAAAAGGAGCTTTATCTGAACAAGGAGAGGTTTGATGGCTCAAATACATCAGCTTTGCCTTGAAGACAAGGGCTGGTGTAGGAGGAAGGTGCTGCCTTGGTCCTCTGGATCACGGCAGGAATCTTCATGGAGCTGCTGCAGCCCCACAGCTTCCTGTTGATCAGTTAAAGGCAACTTGAGTTTCTTGAAAGAAGAAATAGGTTTTGGGGAATGAGGTTCTGGAATGAGGCTCTCCAACAGGAATTGCAATGTAAGCTTAATTTGTAGAAGCAATAACACAAAGTGGCTGCTGAGGGTTGGATTCCAGGGTCCTGGAGGTCCTGTGTTTCCACGTTGCTTTTCCCAGGTGCAGGGGAATGAAAGCTGCTGCATACAGCAAAACAGGGATAAAATTAAATAGAGTAACATTAAATAGAATAACATTCCTATATGTGCCCACGTTAAAAAGCTCCTGTAAAATGAGAGATACAAAAGGCATTTTTTTGCCTTTTTTTTTTTTTTTTTGCTAACCTTCTGGGTTCAGTGTGGGAATTATTCACAATAATAGATGAGCTTATTAAGTCCTCCAAGTAATATGTTCCAGCATTCCCTGATGATGCTCAGCTGAGTGAGTAAATCAGAGGGTTAACAGGCTGGGAAGTGTTACAGCATTTACAATGCATAGCTGGTTCTAAAAGCTACTTCACTAAGCAGCTGGTGATGGTACAATGATGCTGCACAAGAAAAAGATTGTTATCCAGCTGTCAAGTGTTTTAGGTGTTCTCATCCATCAAGTGTTTTAGAGGGGCACCTTCTCACACTGCTGTAATTTAGGCCTCATAGCTGTGACATGCTGGGTCCATCTTATGCAAATCTGAATAATCCATGTGCCAAAAGCCCTCTTGATCTCCCCAGTGTGATCTCGAAAACTGAAAAAATTCAATAGATCTTTCTGTCCCAACGATGCAGATGGAAAAGCATTTCCTGGCTGAAGAGTTCCCCTGAGTAGTAAATGTCTACCATTCTTCTCTTGCTTTTTGTTCCTTGCTTTAGCTTTTATGGTTTTTATCACGGTTCTTGCAGTAAATCATGTGTGCATTTGCAGCAACAGCTCTGCAGAGAGATTGGTTGCTCCCTCCTTCCCAGCTATTCCAATATTCAGGATTAGATTGCTCATAGTTGAGAGTAAGAGCACAGACATAGGAAATGTGCATATTTTTTTTCCTGCTGATACTGTCATTAAAAACTCCTCATGCTTTCTCAAAGCTTACCTGTGAAAGGCATACTTTTGAGTATGCATGTACTTTCCTTAAAATAATACTTTTTACAGTTAAACATAAACAGAAGCATGGACAGATCACACTTTAAAGGCTCAAAAAGCTTTTTTTATGTCCCATAATTTGTGATGTTCAGTCAACTTGCAAATGCTTCAGTAGAAATTGGAGAACACAGTCCTAAGACAGTTTTCAATGACTTTTTAACTGTATTTAAATATTTGGGTGATTTAACATGTGCAGTCTAAGAACCTTAACATCTGAAGCCAGCCAAATATTCATTGAACTTACTGACTTCCTTCATGGTAAATATTCATGCAGCAATGGTGACTTGCATTCATGTTTTAAGATGGAACTTAGTATCAGAAGTAGGATGTTGCCTTGCCTGCAAAGCTGTGCTGAGCTGCTGTTTGCCCCTTCCAGGGAGCGATGGAGCAGAGCTGAGGCTGCAGGAGCAGGGCTGATCCTCTGCCCTGGCATTTGGAAGCTCTTGCCAGGACTCTGGGTGGCAATTTCAAGCATGACTTAGCTGCAGGAACATGAACTGGGTTGAAAATCAGCGTGTAATGCAAGTTAAATGCTGTTGCCACTGCATTCCTGGCCTTTCTGGTGATGCTTTCTTGGGATGTGCTGGGTCTCTGCCACTGTTGGGTTTGCTGGAAGCCTTGGCTGCAGAGGAGAGCAGGAGGCTGGTCCCAGCCCACCCCTGGCTCACTGAGGTGATCACAGCAGGCCAGTGTGCTCAGGGACTCTCCACCCAGCCTTTTAGTCTTCTGTGGCTTTGCCTGATGTCCCCAGGAGCTGAAATGCTGAGACAAGCCCTGAACTTTGGCTTGTGGTCAGCTCTTAAACCTGACTAGTCCAAAGGAGTAAATCCTACTGAGTGTGATAGTATTGACCTGGCTGCAGGATCAGTGGGTTGTGTTTGAACAGATCTCTGTGGCCCTGCACGTGTTTTTTAACACAGTGTTAAATAAGCTGTTCATTCTGCTTGTTGCAACTGCATAAAACCAATAAAATGTCCTGTCTGCTCCCACAGTGGGTGAGCTCTGCTGCTGTTTCTCCACTTAGCTGACATTTCCTAATAGCAGCACTTCTGCTCTCTGTCATGATGAGGGTGTGAGTCCTTCAGCCTACTTTTGCATCCTGTAGCCTTCTGTTTCTTTTCAATGTTTTCTTTCAGTGTTGCCTTTAATTTTTTGCAGGCCGTGTCCATGCTGACACAGCCTGGTGCAGGGAGTGCCAATTTATCTCTGGTTTGCTCTCTGTCATTTTGTTGATCTCTCCTGCAACTCACAAATCCAAACGATTGTCATTTTTCCACAGTCAGTCCTTCCCAGATTCTCTTGCCACTTAATTGGAAGTACTCTTGACAGGAGTGACAGATATGCCTGAGGAAGAACTGGTGTCTAGAGGACAGTGTTCAGATAACTTGGAAAGCTAAAATTAATAAGCAGATGAGTTTCTGATGGTGCTCTTGAATAAAGTGCCTAATCAATAAAGCACACTTCAACAAAAGCACTGCTTCATTATGAGTGCAGGGACTTGTCTGTGGCTAAAGAGAGAAAACGTGGGAGAAACTTGCTTTTGTGATGTTAAGAGGGTTCTTACAGTTGAGGTTTTAAAGCAATCATTGATATTTATTTTCCAGCAACACATTGCAAGACTTTTGTAGCTAGAAAAAGAAAACTAGGTAGGAGTGGTTACAGGATGTCCTGCTGGAGGAAGGCCCCTTTTCCAATACTGGGGTGGGATATTTTCATGTTTGGGCTTTGGAGAAGTAGGAATGTGGGTTTTCACATCCCTTTTATTTCTGATTTTCCTGTGTAATGAATATCATACCCAGCAGTTCTGAAATCAGCATTCCCAGGCAGGAATTCTCCTCACTGAGGCATCTGGTGGTTTTTCTCTGCAAGCAGGAGGCTGGCCAACCTCATAAAGCATCTGCCTTGTTATCCCCGTTCCTCTGCCTCCATGGCTGGTTTTATAGCTGTGTGATGCCTTTCCAGATCAGCTGAAATTTAAATTATAACATGGAACACGTTTCAAAGCAAGATTAAAACAACAGTATGGTTTGGACTCCATCCTAGAAATGCTTGTTTTTCAGTGTTTCTCAAGGACACACTCTCTGCTCTGATTTGTGGGCTGCTCTGGGTTTGAGATCCAGTCTGGGAACGAGAAAACCTTGTGTGGACACAATCCAGGAGCAGGAGATCCCTTTAGGCTGAGATGGTGTGGCCTCAGAGTGACATGAGTCAGTGCAGAGCTGAAGGTGGGATGCAGCTTCTTCTGTCATAACATGTATTTTACTGTACCTTTTGTTTAAGCCATAAACTAGTAGGAACAGCCAGATTTGGAAGCAGCTGAGCCTGTTGGACTCATTTTTCTCCCTCCCCTTTCCCAATCACTAATAAATATTCTCCAAGGAGCTTTTATTCCTGTGGGCACTGTGCAATCACTCGTGTATGAATTGGAGACAAAATAAAAAAGGGGGATAAATATCAAAACTTCTCCAAACTACACAGGTATTCAGCTGTGCCTCAGAACATGTTTTGATTTACCTTGTTTTTCCTTAATATTGTTAGGGCAGTGGATCCCTGGAAGTGTTATTCCACAAATCTTTCCTGTAGGAAAGACCCATTAGGAAAATCAGCTCTGTGTAATCCTATTAAATTTTGAAGCAAGGAAAAAAAGTGACTGGAGCAGGGGCAGATGGCAAAACTCTCTTTGTTTCAGTAGGAACAATATTTCAGTAATTGGTCCTGCTTCTCCATGGACTGAGGAAGGAGGGAAAACACTCCTGTGTGAGAGAAGCAGTATGGTCGTCCTAGAATATATATATATATACTGGGTATAGGTAGTATTTACCAAATTTATTTCAAGTTTCTACTGAGAATCTTCCAATTTCCAAAAGTTTGGGTGAAAACAGGAGGTCTTGCAGGAATTTTCTGATTTTTATTGCACGTTTTATTTTGACTTTATCAAAATATGTGATTTCTAGTATTTTTCAAGGCATGTGGGAGCACAAGCTAGGCAAATCTGTCTGACTTTAACATTTTATACACATCACTTATGTGCTGAAAATTGGAGATTTGGATTTATTACTGCTATTTCAGTGTTTGGATGCATTTCAGAAAACAAACAAACAAACAAACCCCAGAAAAACCAAACAAAACCGAAACTCCTAGACTAACAGTTATATAAAAAACCCAAAACAAACAAAACCGAAACTCCTAGACTAACAATTATATAAAAAACCCAAAACAAACAAA